TTTTTTTTTAGCTTAAAAAAATATTTTTTGAAAAAAATATTAAAAGATAAAGAAGAAAGAATAAAAAAGCAAAATTTTTGAAAAAAAAAACTATGCAACTGTATCAGTTTTTGCAGCACTAGACAAACGGCTTGTTTTGAAAACCGTTTCTCGTCACCCTATCCCTTCTTTACCGGTCCACTTCTACGAGCAGACACACATTTGAAGATACCAAAGACCTTGAGGTTCTCTTAGTATATGACTTGCTTTTTAAGATACTTTTCTACCGTTTCCTCATCGAAATCATCACCATCATCGTTATCATCGTATTGTTTACTTTTCGGCTGAATAAGGTGAATATGAACAAGAGTGATCAGAAGAGAACAGAAGAAAATGCCAGTGAGTTGTATCTTTATTTGTTGAATGCTGAAAACTGTGTGAAAAAATTCAGTAAAAGAATTTTTTCTTTTATAACTGCAAAAAAAGTTATCTTTTGTACTCTTTTTTTTTCTGCCTGCACTTATCAACAGCATTTGAGATATTTTATCCATCAATAACCATATAGAAGTTCATATTTTCTAAATATATTGTCTGAATTTGTTCACAAAAAATGTTCGTTCAACAGTTTTTGTTATCATTAGCTGTAACTTTAGGTTATTTTATGAAATATAATTTTATATAATTAAATGTAATTTTTAAGTGAAATATTAAAATAAAGAAAAAAATAATCGAAAAGAAATTTTTCAACACACGTAACAGAAACGCTGATTTCAAATTCCCTGACGACCAATAGAATCTGAGAGTAATCGTTACATCTAAATGAAAAAAAAAAAAAAAAAAAGACTTTATTAGAACGAAAATGTAAATATGAACAGATACCGACACGCACACACACCCTTACAAAGAGCTGATGTCAAATCGTACGTCACAAAAAAAACTGAGGAATGTCAATTGCGACTTATTAGCTTATTATTCTCCTCTCTGTTTCTTGTTTCTTTTAAAGTTGGTTAGACCAAAGTACAACGTGCTGTATAGACTGAGCTAAATGTATCAATATTAAAAAGAAAAAAGAAAGATGGTTACCTATGCAAACGAGTGTTTTAAAGATGCTCTAAAAAAGTTTTTTTATTTAAATACCGTCATTAATTGGCTCACACTGTCTTGTTGATGAGAGCAGTCTTCTTTTTTTTTCTTACACGTTTTCTCCTGACGACTAAAACTTTAAAAATCACTGTGAAAACAGAAGCACACGCACATACGCAAGCAAACAAGAAAAAAAAATTGTACAGAAGTGACAGTCAAAGGATAAAAACTTACTTTGATAAACATATATCAAAGATGGTTAATTTAATACACTTCCAGACTGACGGCTGAAGGTGATTGAGATGGAGATAGTTAATTTGCAGAAAAGAGAAGGAAATTCATCCCATCTTAAGACTTTATTAGATTTTTGCCCAAAATACGAAACAGCAACTAAAAATTGAAATAAACCGATACGAAAATGAAGATGCAGTGAAAAAAAAAATAAAATATTGAATCATGATTTGCATAGAAATTAAACCATTCAATATTTACTTTGAAAATCATTTTTGCTCTTCAGCATTTTTCTCAACAGTGAACTTTTTTTTTCTTGGCCTCTCGGCTTCGTTTCTTTTTGAAGGGTTTTAAAACTGTCGCTGTTATCGTCAGTGCCGATATCGCTTCAGCACTCCTACAGAAAAGATACCACTGAGTTACAACGACATGAAAATACACTAAAAAGAGTGTTAGCCAAACTTCTTGACATTTATGGTTATTGTATGATATTATATTATGGTATTTAAACAGTGATATTTAAACTTCTAACTTTAAAAAAAACTGTACTTTTTATTCTTATTTTGCTAAAATGTCGCCAACAATGCTGTTTGGCTGTAAAAACAGTTTTATTGGTAAAAATCATCCAAACGAGAAAATATGTGACAACTTTTAATGGCAGCTGAGAGTCAACTTGTCATTTGACAATATCGTAGATGTTGCAGAATTGTGGTTTTCTTTCACTATACTTCTAATAACATTCAACCCATCCAGTCAGTTAATCGACCAGTCAGTCAATTAAATTTTTTTTTATCTTGATTTATACGGTTTCGATAACCCTCGAAGAGATTTTTGAGTACTCAAGCCAATAAAATAAACTAGAAAATCTTTTCAGTCAATTCAAGTTTATTTACTGAATACTCCGAGAAAAAAAAAAAAGAAGAGGAAAAAAGAACGAAATTGATATAAGATTTTATAATTTTTGCTCAGTATACCATTTGACTTTGTCGCAGTGATTATGTGTTAATTGCAAAAAGCCGGTAAATTCAATGATTGCTAAAAATTTATTT